TGTATGTGCCTTTTACCCTTCAGAACAGTCACACAGTTTCACATTGCATCTACACATGTACAAAATATACCTTGTATTCAATATTATTTTAAAAAATGACCCTCTTTTGAGCTCTGAATCAAAAGTCTTGGGTGAAAATTACTGTAACATCCGGAACAAATGCCAGACTTATACAACAATGCCGAAAATGATATGAAAGGTATTATATCCATAACAACATAAAAAAAACTATAGAGTACATAGAGAGTTTATAATAAGAGAAAAATAAGGTTTAATGTAATGCGGCAAAAATTATGATAACAAGGTACTTCTAAATAAGAAAATGAGAAAAGCTGATGGGGCAGTGTGAGTACTGAATTCTTAATCTATGGTTTGTTTAATTTACAAATTCAGCACACTATGTAATAACAGATGCGCTAGAAAGAATCACACGTTTCTTGCTACTATTTAATTTGGCAAATCCATGAGGTCAAACAATTACAGGTTTAATACAAATGTGCATAAAATATTTCACATTTATATTTCTACCTAAGTATATAAAAAAGACCTACATTGGCTGACAGGAAATACCACTATGAATTATCCACCAATGAGGCCAGAAGAATATTTCCATGTTATGGCAACAGCTCCAGCGCACAAAAGTACAACAGGCAAAATAATGCACAGAGCTTTGGGTTGAGATGACATGACATAAGTAGAGAAGTACGACATGATGCCAAGAATGTAGGTTCCAAAACTTTGCCAAAGTTCATCCTTACTTCACTGACAAGAATTCTATCTTCAGCCAGTTAAATCCGGTTAACGCCCTCAAAATCTATTTACCTAAGACCCAGAAATATTTTCCCTTCTTCTGTGACCTTCTGCTCCAAGCACACTCTTAATCAGAAAAGAACCTATACAAGAAGTGCAAACCACCTCAGCCTCTCTGAACCAAACACCCCAGCAGTACAAGGTGCAATCTATGGATCATTCTGCATTTTTATCCTTTTCTAATAATGTCCAAATATTCTCCTCAGCACTTTCAATCACCATGTCTCCCTCACAGCATGAAGTACAGTTTTAAAACCATACAAAATAATATGTAATTATTTATTACACCTTCAAACACAGCTATCTTTATATGATATAACTCCGTCCTAAGTGCAAACTATATTCATAGGTCTTTCGTTTTGTTCTTCTTTATACACTGCATGTTTTGGCCCCAAACGGCCATCAACAGGTGTATACACTCACGTATCTGTTACACTGCACTTATTTATAACATTTATAGCGGCACACACACAAGAAGACTACACAGAATAACACCTACAATACTAGAAACAAGAAGAAGCCGCTGCAGCACTACAGACATAGGGTGAGTAACCCTGACATTTTTACAATTTAAAACTTAGAGAAGAAAAAAATTTTTTAAAGGATTTCAAATTAGAACCGAAGATTTTATAAGTGCTAATCAGGAAGACCTATGTTTTTAAATTTTAAATGTTATAAACAAGTGCAGTGTAACAGATACGTGAGTGTATACACCAGTGTATAAAGAAGAACAAAACGAAAGGCCTATAAATATAGTTTGCACTTAGGATGGAGTTATATCATATATCATATAAAGTGCAACAGGATGCTTAAATATAATATCATAAACAACTATCTTTACTTTGGAAATCTGAAGTGAACAGCAACAGTATACAGTATCATGACCAGCTCACTCTAGTTCACTGGACTAAACTGCTTTTAACTGGTTTAAAGTACACTATAGAGTTGGGCTTTGGTGAGGTCAGCAATGAACCTTTAAATCCATAATAAGCACTTTCTTGGGGAGCAGTTAGTATAGCAACAGGTTACGCGCAGGATACATACATACATATATAATTCATAAATTCACTGATCCGTTGTCCGAATTGGACCAGATACTGAACTCGTCAAAATAAGACTTGATTGCAGAAGTACAATCATGTCAACAGCAAACAAACACACACAACCGAAAGCACGAAATAAATAATTTACATTGTCATTCATAAACAAAATTACAAGGAATATAGTTATTAAATATTATACATGCTTAGCAGAAATATATTCATCTATTGAATAAAAAGCATTTGTTGTGAGGAAGCTTTTCAGTGTGTGTTTGAAAATCTTCACATTATCACTCATCCTTTGTATATTTTCAGGAAGATTATTATAAACCATAATGGATGAATATAACATGCCTCTATGGATTGAAGATAATCTCACTGATGACACATCGTTGGATCAAACGATACAACGCACGCAGCCACAAGAGTAGAACACATCATAAGACATAATATACAGACAACATTAGAAACATAAGAAGAACGACTCCCACGTGGATGATCAATAATACACACAAATTTAAAATATGACATATGAGATAATAGGTTTTAACATGTTTTAAATACATAAACTTTATTATTATATAAGGACGTACACAAATTTAATATTATTTGTAAATGGACATATAAAGGCAAGCAGTGAAATAGTTGACGCATCGATACACCTGAAGATGGCAGCATACTGCCGAAACATGTAGTGTAGAAGTGGTAAATGGGATTGTATATCCTTACGTAAGCCATACTGCTCAGGAACCAGGATATAATTTCTTATAAATGCTGTTTAAACCTGCTAAACACTAAGTTTTCAAATAATTTAGAGAAACTTGTCAATAAAGATATTGGTCTATATTTGGCAATTTCAGTAACATCACCTTTCTTAAAACTTGGTATAATATTTGCATATTTCAGTCAGTCAGGCCATATGCCCGAACTTACAGAAAGATCATAAATATAAGTAAGTGGTTTTACTATCTGTTCACTACATATTTTAATAATTTTATTTGACAACCCACCATATCCATGAGAAGATTTATTTTTTAACGAATTTATCAGAAATCTTAGCTGTAGAGTACTCACATGAAAGTGGTAAAAAATATACATTATTAGAACTCTGACCAACTAATTTGCTAACTGAACTAAAAAAATATGAGTCAAATGCCTTAGCTTCGTTCCTACTATCGATTATTACATTACCTTCTCTCAATTCCGAATATGAATGTTTTTCTTTGACTCTCTACCATTTTCTTTCTTTATGATTTTCCAGGACTCGTTGGATTTATTAGATGCAGCCATTATTATTCCCTCATAATATATACCTTTAGCTCTTCTGACAACTTTTCTCAGTAACATACAATATCGAGTATAATACTCCTTAAGGATGGCCAGGGTTTGATTCCTGCCAGGGGTAAGAGATTTTTCCCCACTCCACAGCATCCAGACTGGCTCTGGGAGCCATCCAGCCTCCTATCCAGTGAGTACTGGGGGTAAAGCAGCCAGGAAGTGCAGCTGACCACTCACTTCCATCCAGTGTCAAGGTCAAGAACGGTAGACCTATACCTCCACTCCCTAACACATTTTCATGGCGTGGTGCTTAATTAATTAAGCAGAGGGACAACTTTACCTTTATACTTTTAACAGGGAATTCCTTGATCTGCTGAGTTTCATTCCTAACCATTACATCAAGTTATAGGTGGGAGGGGTTAGAGGTAAAGTTACTTTAACCCACACCAGAAAGAGCTTGTAATACCCACTGGACAGGAGGGTGAGCCTGCATGCAGTGGTGGAAAAAAAATCCTGCCCCTATTGGAAATCAAATGCACAGCCTAGCTGAGTTTGTGATATATTCACAGAACTTCCTTTAACCAAACTGGAACTGTCAATAGTCTCACAAAGATATATCACTGCCAGACATCAACATATCTTCCGCTTTAATTCCACTGCTACAAATCACTACCATTTCCTACCGCTGGGAACATTAACTAAGTAACTAACGAACCAACTGCACACTTTATAAGCAACAGGCATACCAAAAAAGACAATACATGTGGCAAAGGAGGAGGAACTAGACTGACTTCAATTAAAAACACTGTAAATAAGGAAACACTGATTGCAGCAGGCACACCAGTTCCCCCCAATTTCACTACACCTGACAATATCCGAGTAGGCCGAAACATGTAGTGCACTGACGAATTTTAAAGCATATAATTTTAAACCCTGATGCTGTTCCATGATGGATGGTAAGTAATAAATTCTAACAGCAACAGGTTGCTAAGATACAACATTATGAAAATCTACGTTTGATACTTAACTCAACGAGCATCACATATGTCCAGGTGACAAATGCTGATCCTAAACACAATTTCATTTTATACCAAAACGATAATACGAGTTACAGTCTACATTTTATACCACAGCGATATCAGTCATACTAATTCGATTTAATTTTTAAGGAACAGTCAACTGTGTCTCAGTTGTATTGTATTTGTATGACCTGTTCCACATCTTACAGTCATTCTGACTTACTTTGGATCTACAGAATGTAATGTATGTATGTATGTATGTATGCATGTTTTCTGCAGACTACACCTAGCTGTTACAACTTTCATAAGTAACTACATGCAATTAATGATTTCTGCATTTCAAAGTGCCAATCTCTGAATGATATGTTATACAACATAATTCCCTTTATACTTAATTAAATCAGTGCAAAATATACGGCAGCTATGTCCTTGACAGTTTATATGCAGTTATCAGTTTAGACCAACTAAAAATAATTAACATAATGGAACTACTGAGAAAAACATATGCTCTCTGTACACAAATATATGTCACTATCATGAACCATCACCGAAATAACATTAATTAACCATACCGACTTCTTAAAAAAATACCATTTTACGTCACTGTAATTCAGTCCTCCTTGCAACAGTGGTCACAGATGAATTATGACGTTAGATGGGCCAACTCAGAGTGACCTTACAGAAAAGGCTATAACTAATGTCCTAACACAGTATCACTTATTATCAAAGACAAAAAAAGTGGTGGGAAAATAAAGTTAAAACTAGGGCAAGTTAAGTTAAGCATCAACACTTTCCCTAAATTCCGGTGTAGGGCAGATAATGAACAATTTGTCAGAACATTATTAATGCTTACCCGCTACAGTAGAAAAGATGTTTGTAAATCCTAAAAATAACACACTTAACAAAAAACACTGTAGTACAGATCCCATTTTATTTATTGATATTATCATGTTTCTGAGTCTGAAGGAATGTTCACACTCACACACACAAACTTAATAAACAACAACTACAAAGATATTCTAAACGCTTCCTCAACTTTGAACCATATAACTCTGTACAAACCCAACCCACTATGTACTAAGGCAAGTCTGCAAGATGGCGCATAGGGTATGATTGTATCAGACGAAAATAAGTATAATTTTTTACCAAAGGAATGTGGGCATGCGCGAGTAGAATCAGTTCAATTGCGTCATGACATTGTGACGTCAGACCGTCTTTGACGTCATTTCAAGTCTTTTAAGATCGTTTGAGACGATCCAATAAAATCTGTGTACCAAAAGACATCGAGATGATCGAGATTTTGTTATGAAAGTTCCATGGTTCTGTGGATCGTGCTAATTACAACAATGGAATGCATTTCGTCAATGGTCTACGTTGGCAGCATGTGCGTCAGGCATGTAAACATCTGCTATATGAAAGTCGTGCTTCTAAAACATAAAGCACTAGCTGAATAAACAAAATTTATCCATCCATACTTCCGTAGCATTGAAAATAAAATTCACATACAATATATCGAAAACAATTACTACTTGACTCGAATAAATTAATCAGTATTTCGGTTTACTATGCGGGTATAATTGGCAAGAGATCAAAATAAAAAAAAAAGACTATATGTAAACAGCTGTATGTTATTTTGCGTGTTACAGTTGTTTGGATACAAGTATAAATAGTACAATGAGAAGAGAAATGCCTTCGAAGATACGAAAATGCATAGTAGTGGGATGCATGCATAATTCTGAGTTCTGTACCTGAGAATGACAATGCTGTGAGAATATAATCTGCTTGCAGTGTAACTGAATGAGTCCAGTGATATTAGTCGCTGATAAAAATAAAATACTTAATGTTTTGACGTACTGAAGCCTGCACGCTTATAATTATGGGAGAGAATGTTAAAGTTGCCCCAGTTCACATATATGTTGACAATGAAATCTTTAATATACCACTTCAGTCTTTAACAACTGCAGAAGACGTTTGTATTGAAGTTTCCAAGCAGCTTGGTATAGGGCCTGTTGCCAGACACTTATTTGCACTCAGACTACACCGATCAAAAATTTGGTTTAATCCAGGCCTTAGGTTGTCTGAAACTCGAGCAAATGCAGAATATGATTTTAGACTCCGATATAAAGTACCAAGCCTCTCAAGACTGAAGAAAATAGACATGAAAGCATATGATTATTATTTTCACCAAGCTCGAAATGATGTTATGAATAATGAGATCCCTGACATAAGTTATGATAAATACAGACGGGAACTTGTTGGTTTAGGAGTTGCGGACATGTACAGAGTGATGTTGGAGAAAGGTGTAGAAAGGGATATGGTTGAAAGTGACTATAAGAAGTACATTCCTAAAGAGGTTATTAAACATCATTTCTTTTTCATCAAGAAACCCATCCATGACTGTCTGGGCAAAATTAAGAAAAGTGTTCAGCATGATGCCTGGTTTGTAAAGGGAGAATATTTGAAACAGTTTGAAGAAATGGCTCCAAATTACTTGAGTGAAGAGTTCAAAGCTCTGATAGATGATGAAGGATGTGTGGAAACTGTCCTCTTGAAAGTCAACCCCTTCCATGAAGAACAGCCTGGGGTTAGTGTGCGATATGATGGAAAGAAAGAGGTAATTTCTGTCATGTAGTGTGTGATCTTGATATTTTGCCTTAAAGTTAGGCATAATAATAATAATGAAAGAGCTACCAGTCTGTGAACAGGAAGTTGACATATAAGGCAAATGTGTTATATGTTTTGTTATTCTGATACATCCGTAGAATTCAGTGAGTTGTCACACACACAACTCTTTTTATTGAACAGTGTTCTGATGCAGTTATGCTGTTTGTTGGAGAAGGCTGCTGTTTCACAAGTAAATTGTAATCAAATATTCTTTTATAATTTTTTAATACAATCTTGTATGTCTTAACTCCATGGAGCAGTCTCCCTTGAGAAGGTAATAAATGCTTTCGAACCCTAATGTGACCTGAAATCTGTCTTCACTTGTGGACCTGATCTTCAGTCAGACTAATCCACAGCATAAACTATTTACTTTAGATCCATTCTGATAGTGTCTTCGTCTATGCCGACATCTACCAGGTGGTTTATGACTAAAAATTTGTGTGAATTTTTATATTTCTTAAATCAAAATATGGTTACCGGGCATGTGAAATTACATACACACAAGTTTCCATATAATTGAGGTTCTGTTTTAGAGAAGCATGTGTACAAAAGCCCACTTAAAGTTTGATGTCTGTTTCTAGTGGCATCAGCTGTGTACAATTGATGACCTGTGTTACATTTCTGTACGTAATGATGGAACTGTTGAAATCTCAAGAAAAAATGGCATACCATCATATCTGAAATTTCATTCCATCCCATTGATGTTCTCCTTTGTGAGTTTGCTGGATGGATATTACCGTTTGATGGTGAAATGGACGTTCAATTTATGTAAGGATGTCCCAACGCCATTGCTGCCAAAGCTACATGCTCTGAAGTGTCATGGACCTGTGGGGTAAGACAAATGGTTTCTCTAGGCTGAAATGCAGAACTGAATGTTCTAAACTCACAGTTATCCATCATGTATGGAGAATTGAGTATGCTGGTCGCATGGGAAAATCTCAGGGAAACCCAATACAGTATGGTCTAGTAAACAAGCCTCTAAAGGTAAAGGTGAGGTTTAAGTAAGCACCATACCATGAAGATATGGGGGAATGGAGGCAAAGCTCCATAATTCGTATACGATATTAAGCATACAGTGAAAACAAAAACAAATGAATTGCAGTGTGCAGTGACAGGTGAAACATTTTGGATGTACTGTAATGTGAGCAGAAATTCAACTAACTTTTGTTGTCATGACATCTGGTGGCAGCTAGGAGAACTACTGCATGACAGGTGAATGTATGCACATTGCATAAGAACTCTGCATGCTTAAATTCTGAATAATGAGGAGTTTACTGTATGCAGATCTGAATCATACATAAGTCCTCTTATCAGCAGTTGATATGGGATCAGTAATTTATTCAGAAATTGCTTTTTAACAACTGTCATAATTCATAATAATATTGGTTCTTTTTTTAATTATTCTAATATGTCTTCGGGGGGCACGTTGTAGCATGGTTGAGGCACTGTGCTACAAGCCGGAAGGTAGCAGGTTCAATTCCCGATGAGGTCATTTGATTTTTTTCAATTAACCTAATCCTTCCAGCTGCATTATGGCCTGGGGTCAACTCAGCCTCTAACAGAAATGAGTACCAGGAATATTATTTGAATATTCTTGGGTGTAAAGGCCGGCCAGCACGTAGGGCTGACAACCTTGCCGCCATCTATGAGCCGATTGTCTAGAATATGTGGGAACCTCAACATCTTACAACCCTATGGGCCTCCATGGTCTGTTACAGGGATACCTTTACTTTACTTTAATATGTCTTCATTTTCTTTATGGCCCACCAAAGTGCATATTACCATTTCTTTCATAAATTTAATTTTCATAGTTATAATACTGGTCTTGAATATTTGTGATAAAATTATCTTTCTTTCAGCGGAGAATTTTCATACGCCAAATTGGAAGAGAAACGGAACAGTGCCCCTGGTTGTTTCATTCTGCGGCAGAGCGAGACAAAATATGATGTCTACTATATAGATGTCTGCACCAGAGAAAGGTTAGTTGCTGTCGACACTTTATATCATGACCTGTTTAGATAGGCAAGTTATAATGTTCTGTTTTTTGGCTACAAACTTTACATAAAACCAAAATTCACTGAAATTTTAGGATGGTTAGATAGGTTAATACAGTTTACATCAACTTTAGCGACTGTAAGTAAAACTCATGTTCTCCTGCTGTTGTTATTGCAGCATAAAGCTGTCCCTGTTTGAGAGTGATCATTTGATCACTAGAAAGAAATCTCTGCACATTCTGTGTCATATAAAAGAAAAGTACAGCTACTGTGGTGACCTTTACCACAAACCTGAAACTTAGCACTGGTAGGAAGTACACTTAAACTTGACCTATGAGTGGGTTATGTTCCAAAGTCCCACCTTTAAGTCGAGTTGTTCATAAATTGAAGCATACTTTTTCCAACAAGAATGTGATTTGGAGTAGCTGATTACCCAAGATTATGAACAGAGTCTATTTAACCTGTAATATCATATGTAGTTTACTTTATAAATGAATATCGAAGAACACGTTAAACATCCACAGACAAATAAATAGACAAAACTAAGTAATTCAAAATAACATTTTTGTAATATAATGTAATGTGCTGAGTTCTGTCATTGGGGTTATAATGCTCTGTAATCTGTTGAAAGTCGACGGATGTTTCAGAGGAATGTGTTACCTTCTTCTTCAGGGTTGAAGAATAAGCCAAACAAGAAATCAGTATTAAGCAGGTAGAGTGAATTTCAATGGACTACGTGGTGTTATATCCCAGAAGATATAACTCCTCACAAGCACTACTGTGAGAACCTGAAGTCCTACAGTGCCTGTGCCAATTATATGTACAAATGTCCTTATGTCAAACATTCTTATGTTGAGGATAAATCGTAATAAATTAAGTAGCAGTGATACATTCTTTGAAATGTTAATTTGAGCAGTTCAAAACCAAAATCATACAAGATTGAGAAGAGGGGGGAAGAAGAATACTTCTTCAGTTGTGATGGAAAGATTTACACAAGCATAATGCAGCTTGTGGCAGCATACCGAACCGGTGAAGACTCCATCTTCCTCCAAGAGTGTCTGCCTCCTTCGGAATATGGTATGTTTCACTGTGTTTATATTTCGTTAACTTTAAATACAGTATGATTGCCAGAGACCTTCATGCAAATTGTTTAACCACTTAGGTAGACATGTGAGATGTTGTGTAAGTTTTGAGGTTTTCACGGCGATGACAATGAAGAAAGTTGTCTTCTGGGTTTAGGCACCGTGTATTCTTCGTTTTGGCCGACGTTTCGGAGGAACGTAGCGCCTCCATCTTCAGAGCAGTTGATGGAGGCGCTACGTTCCTCCGAAACGTCGGCCAAAACGAAGAATACACGGTGCCTAAACCCAGAAGACAACTTTCTTCATGTGAGATGTTCTTGCCAACCAGTTGGCCTGCAGAAGTTGAGACTGGAAGCATAATCGCTAAACTTGCTGCCTAGCATGTTACAAGTAATACTTGATAAAGGCAGGGGGTGGATGTCAAGTGAATATTGAAGCCTAACACTCATTTCATCATTTCTAGACAACTGAAGCAGAATTCAAAGTGTTTATTGAAGATGAAATCAGTGCTAAGCATGAACATTAGCCTTGAAAATTCCTGCAACACCTTTCACAGAACACCAGGATCTCAAGTGTTTCAAGCGTACGAGATCTAAAAGTGTGTGTTGATGGTACATTAATACAAATATTATGTTCTTGAACATTGTCCATCGTGAAGTTTTTATTTAAAACAGTCTATTTTTATTTAAAACACTGCCGTGTTTTTATTTAAAAACGCAACTTTACAGAGACTGGATTCTGTCTCTGTAAAACCTACTCAATTGGGCCCACTTGATAGAGCTAGTCCCTGTCTCTACTAGCTCTATCAATGGTGCCAAACTGAATAGGTTTTATCTGAAGATGGAGACAGAATCCAGTCTACGAAACATTGTGTTTTAAATAAAAGCAGGATGATGGATAATGTCCAGAAACATATATTTATGTTCCAAGTTTACTCCATTTCCAACAATGCACATGAGTGGGTGAATGTAAAGTTTATGAAAGATGCCAGCATAAATCCATGCAGCAATACAGAGTATGTGAAGCATCTGATGTAATATGGGTAAAATTTTAGGTTTTGATGGTGGTGAGTTGTCAGGTTGCAGTCTTCTGTGGTGTGTTGTTTCGTGGATATGTAACAGTGTTTCAGACAAAACATCTGTCTCCATCTTCAGGTAGAAGAGGAGGCAACAAGTTTCTCCAGAATGTTTGTACCTGTATGCTGACTACACAACATCATATCCCAGAAGACTGCAGTCTGAATCAGTCTAGTTTGCTTTGCAACCTGGTCTTCAATAACATCCATAACATGGTAGGACAGTAAATTCATGTTGATTAAGATGAAGAACATCAGACTTGACGTGATTGGTGTTTTCTTTGCAGACAAATCAAACTTGCTGTTGTGCCAGCTCGAGACGAATAAGGTTGACATGATGACAGCAGACAGTGCTGTGGCCGGTCTTCTCAACGCAGCTCCGCAATGCATCAATGTCAGAAACTTACAAGTCTACAAAAGTAGGAATCTACCTGTGTCACATATCAGCACCAGCTCAAACAATAACGATATCTGAAATAATATCATGTATTAGAGGATTTGGGCCATTTTGGCGAAACTTGTATGGGCATTATGGCTGTCTTTTAAATGAGAACTTTATTCAAAGTAAGGTTTACATCTTGTTGCAACTGTGAATGTGCGCACTGGCATGTTGCACACATAACAGAGCATGAAAAGCATGCAGGATTTGAGGTTCTTACATTGGTGGTTATGAAGAGTACTATTTTTTGGGGGTATAACACCATGTAGTCCGTTGTAAGTCAACTGGCATTTCAGAGGAACATGTTGCCTCCATCCTCAGTGTTGAATAAGTTGTGCAATATACCAGCATGAAGGCAAGTACTCTTCATGATAAAGCATGTTCATAGACACTTCAGTGTCATCGGTGAAATGTCAGCCGTAATGTTGGATATACTGGCTTCCGTTTCATCCAAACTGCATAGGTTACTGAGGTAGGCATTGCTTTTAATATAACCCCATAAAAAAAACTGATGGTGACAAATTTGGTAACTGTGAGGACCATAACCCCTGTTGAAATGGTTTATTCTCAGAACAGGGATGGCTTGCACATTGCACATGGTCACATGTTTTATATCCAGCCCTATGGGGAGATGATTGGATCCATGAATTGATGAATACATGTAAATGTAAATGTACACTGTATGACATGTTATGCTGTCTTTTTCACACCACAGGTGTAGGTGGGTGGACAATATTAGAATGGATCTTAGAGAGATAGGATGGGATGTTATGGATTGGATAGATCTGGCTCAGGATAGGGACAAGAGGAGGGCTCTTGTGAACACAGTAATGAACATTCAGGTTCCATAAAATGCTGGGAAATTCTTGAGTAGCTGCAGAATTGGCGGCCCCTCCAGAAGGGCTCAGCTCCATGAGTAAGTGAGTAAGTTTTGTAATTTCCCATTCTTTGAGGTGTCTGAGGAATTTATGGTCTGTATCAGTGTAGTGCACTGAGTTAATTATGTTTTCAAAGAAAGTGGGCCCAACAGTATCACAGCAAGACTGCACACCACATTTGAATCTTGACAAGTAAAGCTATCCCTGTAACAGGCCATGGAGGTTGATAGGGTGTGAGACTTCAAGGCTCCTACATTTTCTAGACAGCTCTCAGATAGTGGTGAGGTTGTCAGTCTTACATGTTGGCCATCCTTTACCCCTAGGAAGATTCCTGGTATTCATTTCTGTTGGAGGCTGGGTTGACCCCAGTGCCATAGTGTGACTGGAAGGGTCAGATAAATTGAAAAATTCAGTGACCTCGTCAGGAATCAAACCCACGATAGGTGTTTAATGGGCTGCATGGGGATTTTCCATCAACTATATGCAAGTATCCTGACAGCTCACATAACCTGTAAGATGGAACCACACCTCATCTGAGGAAATGAGTCACATCTAACATGTGAGAGCCATGAACCACCTTCTGAAGCAACCACTCACCACAGTGATTCATTTGTCACAGTCCAGGATAAACAGCTGCCAAATAACACGCACTTTGTATGGTAACAATTGCAGTGTCTTTGGTGGTGTCTTGCGAAACTGCTGTATGAGATTCCAGTTTCTTGTGCTGGTTTCTAAACTGACTGTAAGGACTTGCACTTAATCTCTCACTCACTACTGCTGTACAGGTTCCTGTAATAGCAGTTGAGTGGCGAACATGTTTCAGTATGTTCACATTTTCTGTCTGCCTGAACTGTTTCACAGACTTACATGCCACGGGTGTTGCTGGTGCTCGACATCAAAATTTGTGGCTCTAATCACTTGGGCTTGTTTTGAACTATTCTCCACTGAGAACATATGCTTCTCTACACTGAATGCCATGTTTTTACTGCTTGCATTGTGCACTCCATACTGTGCATATGAGTTTCACCAGACTGGTTTTATCAGTATAATACATGACATTATTAACATTCTTATCATTGGTTTCTAATTTAAGCAAGTCACTCTGTATAAAAATAATTGTTGTAAGTCTGCCATTTACAAAATATAACTCTGCAAATATGGGTATCATTTTTGAAGACTTCACATCGAGGTGTATCCCAGGAAGGAATGTGTAATGTTTTGTTCTATTCCGTTGTTCCTGAATGTCCAAAGTATTTTTTTATTGCTAGTAGGGTGGGACCAAGTCCCTTGTACTGCGGCCACTTCTGGCCTATTGTACCAGCCCCAGATGATAGGTGAGCCATTGGTGGAATGAAGATTGGCAGGGGAAACCGAAGTACTCGGAGAAAACCTGCTCCAGTGCCACTTTGTCCGCCACAGATCCCAATTGACCAGACCTGTGATCGAACCCGGGCCACCACGGTGGGAAGCCAGCGACTAACTGCTTGAGCTATGGCGCAGCCTGTCCAAAGTGTACTCTAATGTACAGCTTTGTACTGCTTGTAGTACAGTTTTCTGATCTCAGGCTTACAATTGTTATTATTTTTTCAGATCAAAAGAAAGAAGGTCGAAGTGGGACGTCACATATATATCGAAGTGTGTGGAAACCCTCAAAAGGCAAGAAGATTGAAGTGGCTATGAAAACTTTGAAACAAGAATGTAGAGATAAATACCTGAAGGTAATACTTAATATGATATATCTTAGCTGGTTACCACATATAGAAATTTCAATGATCATTTGAAAATTTTTTCCTGCTTCATTTGAAATATTCTGACAAATCTCTTCAATTCTTTATCTTCCTCCTCCATTAATTTCCTATTTAAATTTTGTTTTGGATCCGTTTCCCATTACTTCTATTTTTGTAAATAAAATTATGTATGATATTGTGCATTCTCTCCTTGTACCACAGGATTTCCTTGAACTTGCTGGTCGATGGGCAACCCTACAGTCAAATGCAGTTGTCAAGTTGTATGGCGTAACACTGTCTAGTCCACTTGCCATGGTAACAGAGTACCTGAGTTTAGGGCCACTGGACGTGTACCTGAAGGAGCATAAACTCAGCTTGAAGCAGGTGGATCTCGTGGAAGCTGGAGCATTTCTTGCCAGGGCACTCTGGCACCTGGTATGTGATTTGGGAGGCAAGCACAATTTCAACTGTCGTGCGATGTAAATAGTTGTAAGATCTGAAGCTTTCACAGTGGGTAACATTATAATAATGAAGTAATCAATTAATTAATTAATTAATTTGATATTCAACTGACATGGTTGGTAGCCCAAAAAGATTTTATCAATGTAAATAGTTATTATGAAGTATGAGAGTGTAAGATATATATTTACAGTAGGCATTTGATACTCAAGGCACTTAAAAGAAAGTTGTAGGACCATTTAGTTTTACATGGAAGTAAACTTTGTGAAGTGAGTACTGCACAAGGAAACCATGTCGAAACTCTGTATACATCTGTATGGATTTCACCTTTAAGTCTTATTCAGTAGTCTTGTGTATTTGTAATACCATTTTTCCTCGTAATAGGTTTTGAGGAAAAATGATGCTTTTGATTGTAGGACATGCATCTGATTTTTAAGATGCAGCAGTGAATGTAGGTGTAACAGTGAATGCTGACCAATCTTACTTCATCACAGTGTATTAGTTAATGTCAAAACCACTTGGTATATTCACCCTCCAAGCCCCTGTCAGGTGTTTTGTACATTATCACATGTAACAACATTTCTCACAACGAGAATACACAGAAGCACTGTCAGAATCTCCATTGTTACTGTCTTTGTGTTTATTGTCCAGTGACTAGTGTTATGGATATGAAGAGTTTCCTTGTGCTTTAATCATACAGTATAACATCTCAACATTGTCTCTTAGATGGCATCACATGTAAGACAACTGTGATTTCAAAAAGGTTAAAATGTGAAAGAAGGGCAACTCAGAATTGAGGAAATATGAAAGTAAAGTAAAAAAAGTAAAGCTGTCCCTGTAACAGGCCGTGAAGGACCATAGGGTTGTGAGTCGTTGAGGGTACCACATTATCTAGACCATAGGCTCAACGATGGCGGTAAAGGTTGTCAGCCTTACCCGCCGGCCGTGCTTTACTCCCCAGGAAAATTATTTAATTAATTCCTGGTACTCATTTCTGTTAGAGGCTGAGTCAACCCCAGGGCTTTAGTGCGGCTGGAAGGATTAGGTCAATTGAAAAAAATCATCAGGACTTGAACCCGCGACCTTCCGGCTTGTAGCATAGCCCCTCAACCAACTACACTACCGCATGCCCCGAGGAAATATGATATACTCTTAAAATTCAAGTTAAAATCATGGGAAGATAAAATGTCTGACTAGAATTTTTTTTTGTAATAATATTTGTTAAGTATCTTATGAATATTGTTTTGATCTATTTGGAGTGTTGGATTTTGTTTTTTCAACTGTGAAGCATGTAGAATAAGTCTTTGTAATTTTTCCAACAGGAGGACCAAGGCATAGTCCATGGGAATATCCGATGTCGGAAACTTCTAGTCGCAGCTCACGATGATAATAGCTTCGTAGTTCGTCTTGCTGATCCAGGGTTACACTCATACACCTCATCTGAGTATGTTTTGGACAGAGACATGTATTTCTTATATAACAGAATTGTCAGGCTTCATACATCAGTGTTACTGGTCTTGGCATGAAATTGTATCAACCAGCCATCATAACCTGGCCTTCACACATCTCCATGCTAAGAATGCAGGATTCTTTTTTCTGTTGGTATTTGTATCTGTAGGACTGTGATGATTATGCTCTTCTGGTGTCTGATGCCAAGTGATCTGATAAATAGTTACAAAATTTTGGGAGGAACCTGCTGCTGGCTCTAACTTTAGGGTATTCTTCTACCCTGAATATGGAAGCAGAAGGTACTTTTTGAAATGTTGATAACTGTATATCAGCCTACATTCCAGAAGTCAGTAATCATGTCTAGGACAATATCTGAACTGTAAGAACTTGAATATTTAAGAGATAAATATTTAATATTCACAGTTCTTTTAATTGGCTTTCATTCATAATGAATCAAGAAATCCATCATTAATCCTCTTTTGAAATGGTTTACCAGCCACTATCAGGTTTTTTAAATGTTTATTGTGCTTGAGAGACAGTTAAAATCTCAACTTGAAATGTTTTTCTTCTAACCACTGCTGAAGGGTCCAGAGTGTGGAACTTGCATCTAAATATCTTTTTGCTTGCTTCTGGTAAAAGAGTCCAGTCTCCGGATTGCTCTTTTGGATGACTGGTGATGAACATGCAGTTACTGTTTGTTTGTTAGAGTGGCTGTTAATACCATAAATTTTCCTAAGTACAGAGTGATATTACAGAATGTTTTCTTTAAAATTGAACAGTAGCAGTAAGCACTGTTAGAAGTACTTACTGACTCATGAAGCTGAGCCCTTCTGGAGGAGCCGCCAATTCTGCAGCTACTCAAGAATTTCCCAGCATTTTATGGAACCCGAAGGTTCATTACCATGTTCACAAGAGCCCTCCACTGGTCCCTATCCTGAGCCAGATCTATCCAATCCATACCGTCCCATCCCATCCTATCTCTCTAAGATCCATTCTAATATTGTCCACCCACCTACGCCTTCATCTTCCCTGTGGTCTCTTTCCTTCTGGCTTTCCCACCAATATCCTATACGCATTCATCTTCCCCAATTTGTACTACATGCTCTGCCCAATCATCCTCCTTGACTTGATCATTCTAATTATACTTGGAGAAGAGTACACGTTATGAAGCTCCTGATTGTGCAGTTTTCTCCAACCTCCTGTCACTTCATCTCTCTTCAGTCTGAATATTCTCCTCAACACCCTGTTACTGTTACAAGGTCTCCTGAAAGTAAATCATGATCTATGATTTGTTATCACTACCATCATCATCATCATTCCATTGTCCTGTTGTATTTTCTCAAGGTATTCCACAAATATGGATATGTCTTTTGAGTTTCAACAGACAGATTTGTAATATATTTAAATGATTTCACAGTATTCACTGGATTCCAACGGAATGTTACTCTAATTTTGATTTTGCCCATGGTTCCGTGGCAGCTGATGTTTGGGCATTTGGTACCACCCTGTGGGAAATATTTGCATATGGAGAATGCCCACCTGAAACTAGCGATGTAGAGAAAATAAAAAAGGTACTTGTGTTTCTTACAGTTGTTTGTATGCATTAACATTTTTAATGATTTTGAAAATAATTATTGAATACAACTGTGTTAAATGTATCCCTTGTCATTAAAATAAACTAAAGACCCAACAAATGCTGTTGTGTTGCAGGATTACCAGAGTGGCAAGAGGCTGCCTTTCTCTAGTGGCTGTACAGTCGACATCTACAAACTCATGTTGGAGTGCTGGGATCTCGACCCATACAGGAGGAAGAAGCCACAGGCCATTATGCGTGATCTGAATCAGATCCTGTATCAAGGTATCATCACTTTCACTTCAGAAGCCAGCTCCTCTTGTTTCACTTTTTTGTCTTTCTTTATGAGAATATGTGGGTGTGGAATTTTGTATGTTGAGAACAGGGCACTGAGGAGAATATTTGGACCTAAGGACAGGAGGCTAAGTTGCATAATGAGTAGATTCATGATTTGTGCTCCTTGCCAAACATTATTAAAGAAGATGAAATCGAATTCAACCCTGAGGATGTATGTGAGATGTTCCGGTGAAACATTGATATCCACCTAGAAGAATTCACGGTGCCACATCTCAGATCACCTTCTGAACACACATTTTTGGCTATATTTGACACCTTAAGTCTGTTAGGCCCTGCTATATGGACAGAGATGTTTAAAAAAAATTATATACCTTAATATGCAGTAGCATAGTGGTTAAGGCACTATGCTACAAGTCGGAAGGTCGCAGGTTCAAATACCAATGAGGTCATTGGATTTTTTCAATTGACATAATCCTTCCGGCCGCACTATGGCCCTGGGTTTCACTCAGCCTCTAACAGAAATGAGTACCAGGAATTAAATAAATAATTTTCCTGAGGAGTAAAGTGCNGGATTGGAGGTGTAGCTCCATGCATTCATAACCTCAGCACTAGATAGGCCCCATTGTATAGCAGGCTGCAGGAGCTTGGAGCATATTAAACTCTCAGGACTTCCTGTTTGTTACACAAAGTTGTAGCTCTTTTGAATGTTGACAGATTTCCTACTTTTGTCCATCTACCGTCATGGATAAACCGTGTTGTTTTGAGGTTCCTACAGCAGTGATTATGATGAGCATGGTGTTCCACATTGTAATGCTGCGTACTTCATAAAGAGCATGATACTTTGGAGGAACATACTGCCTCCATTTTCAGAGTTGAAGAGTAAGCCAGGCAAGAAACCAGAAGATTCAGGCAGCAAGCAGAGCTTTGAAGCATGGCATCATAGATAAATCAGTTTTTAAGATTTTGAAAACAAATCTGTGATTTATTTCCTTCCCGTTTTTAGTACAGAAGTGATACAAATAGATTCTGAATGGTTCTGACGATGGTATGTAATACTCAGAATTACTGGGTTTTTGGACTTTGTCCATCATCCAGTATTCTAGAAACTAGAAAAAAACAACGTTTTGGAAACTGTATCTGTTTCCATCCTCAAGTGAATGGGAAGGCACCTACTGTGTTATGTCCCTTAGAAAGAGCTAACCTCGATCACTGGACAACCCCTGTCAGATTTCTAAGGGACCCAACAGAATAGTGTCTTCCTCGCTCACCTGAGGATGGAAACAGATCCAGTTTCAGAAATGTTGTGTTTTCTAGTTTCTAGAATACTGTATGATGGACAGAACAAGAAAACCCAGTAATTCTGAAAAGTGATACAGTTTTCATATCATGAAGCATTAACCATTTCTTACATCCATTATGAAACTGTGTTGTAGAATGCCTCATACAAATGTGTTTCAGTGTTCAACTCCAGGCGAATGCATTCATATGCCACACCTTCCTTCAGAGTGTTTAAAGGTCTTGGGAACTCTTCAGAGAATAGCGTAACAGAATCAAATGCCAGTCTGTTCTCTGGAGCCACAGGTAAGTCATGTAGCCATGTTGGATTTATTAACATACTGAGACACAGAAACCCAGGTAATGCAGCAGTAATTATCTCTTGATATCAGGCCATTTGAATAGGAATGATACATCTATTTAAAAGGTCAGGTTCCTCTAAAACACTAGTTATGATGTACAAAAGTATGCAATGTTACGTCCCAGAAGACAGTTATTATCGCGGTCACTGTCATGATATGTTACGTTACTATTTTAACTACAAGTAATCCACTTAGATCTGTTGTCAGCGGCCTCTGTAGTCTAGAGGTAACGTTCCCACCTCATGACTCGTAGTATGCGGGTTCAAATACCCGGCGGAGGTTGTCGAATTTTTAAGGGCGGAAAAATTCAGGGAACAAGTCCTCCGGGAGGGACTTTAAGCCGTGGGTCCCGTGTCGTAGCTTTACGGCACGTAAAAGAACATCATATCTCCAAAGGAGGTCACTGAGCCAAATTACGGATGTTTCCCGCCCAACAGCAGTCTCTAATACCTCTGGTAGATGGGGGAAGCATTATAGATACCTCTCAGCTAGTAGAGCCGGTCTCGCTGGCTGGGCGGGACT